CTCCCCACAAAAACACTCTAAAATTCTCTAAAACTGTTTTTCCCTGCCGAGCTCTCCCAGGCCTCATGCCCCCACCCTGCTAGTTTGCAGGGGAACACGACTCACCCCGGCTCCGGCCAGCRTCGTCCCGACAGCAACCCTTGGTTTTCCCTGGGAATGCCCGGCCCAAAGCATCCCCAGATCTCTCTACCAGGCGTCATGCTCCTGCTATTAACAGGTTACAGGGCGATCCCCCAGCACCGGCCAGCGTCGTTCTGGCATCGAAAAACCAACAGATCCATGAGTAAACAGCATCAAGGAAGCCCAGACTGTTGAACCTTTGTGTCCTTTTACAAACAGAAACATAATAACCTCCTCAGGACAGGAAGGGGGCCTCAAGGAAAGGAAGCTAAGGGGCTCGTTAGACACTCCTAAAAGTTCCTGTTTTTAGGATTGCGTCTTGTTTGCACGCAATCCTAAATGGGACGTGGGAATCGAAAATGTGAAAACGGCGTTAGGACTCGTCCTAAAAGATTTAGGATTCCCCAGCCAAATYGTCCTGAATTTTCCAGTAGCCCCGGACGTATTGAAAAATTTAGGATTCCCGCATTTCACGCCGTCGTCGCGTCGTGAGAATGGCACCRTCGACACGGAGGAGCTGCTCCAGGAGAGGGCCATCGGRCCGGTGGGCGGACTTCGAAGGTTTTYTGGCGGTCGACGACGGCAACGGCCCCCATCGGTAGTCGYCGGACGGTGGGGTGGAGCAGGTGGGGCGAAGCGTGGCCAGGCGGGCAGCCGTTGCAGACCGTTGGCTCGGTTGCAGGCAACRGAGGAGTTCCCAGACGTCTGCACGACGACACACGGAGGTGACGTGGGCGCCAACGGTCAGTTTTTGAATCGGAGGCGCCAACGTTTGTCGTCTTCGCTGGCGGTCGACGGCATATGAAGGTCCAGCGGCCTTGTCCGCGGGCAAGCAAGGAGAAAGTTCAGCAAGACGTCACGTGCAAGGTCGCCTGTCGAYGTCGAATTCATGGAAAATTTGCAGAGGAGATTGCCTCTGCTGCTCGTGGTGGTCGTCTTCCTCTTTGTCGTCTTCCTCCACGTGTGCTTGTYGTGCCAGCCGTGGAAGCAACGTCGAAAGCGTAGGGTGTCGACGAAACGCGCTGTGCTTCAAGAGGAACGTCTCATGGCGGGCATGAAGGCACGCGCTATTCTGCCTGCAGCTGAGGGCGGAAGAAGACTTGCGACGACGGAGCCTTCACGGTGGTACGACCCGTCCATGTGCAGCCATCTGCCGTCGTGGGAGACGCCGCTGCCTCCCTCGGACGAGGAGCCGGAGGGGGATGAATTTCCAACGTTTCCTCTCGCCAGCGGGTCGACGCAGCTGTTGTCGCAGATGGTGCTCGTAGGCGGGTCGGCGAGCAACGTATGAGGCGAGCACACGTCACTCCTGCAGCAAGGGTTGGGAGACGACGACGACGGGGAAGTTGATCTCCGGTTGCTTGAGTTCTGGCGGTGCCAGGGAGGCGAGTCGCACGGTCATCACCGCCGCCCATGCTTCCGCACGTGGCCTGCAGCAGCCTCGAAGGGAGCAGATGGGACCTTCCACAGTACGTGGCGGTGCGTCCGTCGTTGGCGGTGTTGGTTCTTCGCCAGCAGCCCGGCAGCATGTATCGGGTGCGCCGTCCGGGGAACGATTTATGGATAATTGGGACGTGCGCACTGCTGCGGCAACATCGTCCCTGCGCACCAGCGGTGCACGCTCGTCAATGCTGAACCGAACAACGGCCGCGCCACCCGAAGGGAGGGACAAGGGCGCCCGCAAACCACCGGCGGGTTCAGGCGCTCGTGTGGAGAAAATCACTCGAGGCGTATCGAACATGCGGGCACACAGCGATGGCGGCGATGACGATGGCTGTGGCGGTGACGATGCCAACGACGGATTGAGGGAGGAAGTCGAAGCGGGGGACGACGACGACGACAATGCTGTTTGGCCTGTGGGGAAGACGGGTGGTAGGGGTATTGGATGCAGCAACCGTGGTGGCCGTGGTCGATCCGTTGGCCGTGGCGGCAGAGGTGGCGTCACCGACGATGGAGGGAAGTCTGGGACGTACTGGTCGACGGACGAGCAGAAGCTCCTCGTCAGATGCAAGCGAGAGCAGGAGATGCACCTCGTTGGGCTAGGCCACAATTACGGCCGGATGCGGACGAAGGAGTGGAAGTGGATCGACATTGCGAAGCGCATGGCGAACGGTGGGAGCCCTAAAAAAGCAGACAACTGCATGAAGAAATGGGACAATTTGTTTCAAAACTACAAGAAAATACAGAGGTTTTAGAACGCGAGTGGGCGGCTAGATTTCTTCAAGTTGTCCAACGACGAAGTAGCACAACTTCAAGTTCTGGATGGAGAGGGTGCTGTACAACGAGAAGTATTCCGGGATGTTGGGGAACCATACTATTTTCCCTCCCAACATCGCCGACACCAGCAGTCCGGACGGGGTGCAGCTGCCCAGGAGAGGAGCGGGTGGTGAGGAGTCTGTTGATAGTGAGGGAGGTGGTGACGGCTGCCCTGAAGAAAGATCTTCTGCAAGGGACCCCAACGTGAACGCTTGCAGTGTTGCCAGAGGCGGGAAGCGTAAGAATGCGTGCCAACAGGCGCTGGAGTCCATCGCTGATGTCATGGACCGCCATGGCAAACCGATGTCGTCGACGATTGAATCGTCCAGCAAACGGTAATGCAGCATTTCTTCGAGGCGGTGCGACATACAAGAACAGCAGTGCGACATACTCGCGCAGGAAGTAGCGGTCCAAAAAGCGCACTATGCGGCGTCCGACGAGACGCAGAGGATGATGTGTCACGCACTTCTGGAGATCGCTGCCGCCATCGGTGGTCGTTCGACGATGGAGCCCATCGAATCGTTTCTTGATTATGTTGCTGCTATTGCGGTCGGTGTAGCTATGACGATTGTTTTTTTGTTTTGTTATTTTCTTTTTTTTTATATATCGGTCACTTCTGCGTAAGATGATGGAGGCAGACCATGCGATATGATGCTGCTTGCGAAATGGTTGCCAAAGATGAGGGAGGCCGTCTGCGCTGGATTTGCTGCATTTCGTGGCGTCAATCGTTGTATTGATGGAAAAGTGTGTGTGTGTGTGTGTGTGTGTGTGTGTGTGTGTGTGTGTGTGTGTGTAATTCTTTTATTTATTTTTTTCTCATCTTTCACATGACGAGACTGCTTTGT